CTTCTTCGACAGCTTTTTGTACTCGTCTTGAAATGATTGCCGATCCACTTGAACATGAACATAAATATTGTCTTTAGTAACTTCGACGGTCGCTTTTGGCTGGAGCGCATGCGTGTCATACTTTATTCAATCTCATAAAGAACTTTGATTTTACCTTGGCATACCCCAAGTCGAACACGCAATTATAATTTACATTTTTGCGTAATCGAAAAACATTGAAGCTCTTGGGTATGACATTTCGTTTATTTGCATGATCAACATGAGCGTAGCACTGCGACCAGAACACGATCCATCCGAGGCTATGGCCTAAACGCCAACTAAAAAAACGTGATGGGCTGTATTCATCGGGCAATTAATCAAATATAGTGCTGTGTTTACTGCTTTTGACCATCATTCAGTCGAAACGCTTCTTGTAGTAGAGCTTTTGATGACCTTTTCTATGATAGTACTGATGTCCGCAACCCAAGGGCTATATCGTACGGGACGGTAATGGACAATACCTCTGCGATAAGATATATCTACCATTGTTTTGTTCACGAATACAATTCCGCTGTCGGATCTCAAGTATTTGAGACGAGCGCACCCATTCATTTTCGTAAAAACCCTGAATTCCTTGATCTTACCATCTATTTCACTTTTGCTCTCGATCAAGAAATGGCAATACATCTTATAAATTCATCCACAAAAGTGAGTTTTCAATTTTTTCGCTCTTTCAAGGAGCCCGCATCGAATACATGGTATCTGCTCGTGCGCTCCAGAACATGTGTCGCCTTTGTTCTCGGACGCAAGGGGGACGTCCTGACTATCTGATCCTTCCAACGCAATGTTACTGTTGCATGCTTGATCATCAGGATGTCTTTGGTTGAGCTCTGTGTCTTTCATAAATCATTCCTATTCAGGTGCATGCCAAAACTCGCTGAGTGTCAGCCCTGGAATGCTACACGTAATATGCTTCTTGCTGCTCACAATCGGGCATGTACACTATATTGATTCTTGACTGATGGATTGCCTTTAAATTGTTCTAGATGACACACGAAGAACGCGACACTCACACCGCCTTCCGCAAGATTGACAGCAGACAACAATCTTCCGTCAAGTCCTGGGATAAAAAACAATAGTTCTTGAGAGTCCTGTTACCACCCAAGCCGGCCAATTCCGCTTTGTCGGCTCCTATGTTGATTATACTTCTGCCAACGGCAATTGTTTACTTAGATCTTGTCTTAAGGTCTCTATAATCGAAAGACCTTTCTATGCGGGCCCAGACGGGATGTGACGCCACTGTCGATAAAGATATCTTGTTGATCGTCATCACTACTTGAGCGTCGTTCCGTCCGCTCCATATGACCAACTGATCTCATTAAAACACTGACTCTTAAATTTGCCGTTATTGCGTAGAAAGCCACCTATCGAACGTTGCCTCATCCATTTTAAAGATTTTCAGCATTCTCATTTTGCGGAACGCTCTCTTTGTAGACTCTCTTCGCTACTCGGAACCTCGCTCTTTATTGTCTGCAAACACACAAAAATAGTTCGCCAATAGAGTCTTAAGTTTCGTCATGCAAGTACCACTTTCCATGTTGAAGTCGTGAAGTTGCTGCGTCATTGTAATGCCATTGTGCAGTGTTAAACGACTTAAGAAATCAAGTAGCGCCCCCCATGCCTTTGTTGTACTTATTTCTGACTTAATCTTGGTCTGATGCTGAATCACAACGCCTTGCGCAATAACACCCAATGTCCTGGCGTCATGCAGTAGCCACGCCTCTGTGGTTTCGCTCACATCCTTGTCGGTCACGACATGCCTAAGAAGACCCTTCCGCTTAAGGGTCATCGTGATGCTGAGCACCTAGTGTTGGCAGATCCAACTTTCTAAGGACGCCTTTGACAAGCTAGATTGTCATGGTTGATACATACGTTATAGTGAATGAAGGCTTGGTTGCGGCCGTCAACCTCTTGATTTGATGGTAAAAGCCGAAGTGGAAAGTTTGTTGTATACTATGTCCTGCTCGCTTCAACACCTCCATATCTACACCAAATCACTCTGCCGTGATAATATACAATTTGGTTATTTTCTATAAAAAGGCGAGGAGACATAGCTGCTGGCTAGGTACACATTCAATGAACCCTGAATACCGTGTAATTAGACTTTATTCTTTGGGAGACGCGAATCCTGAGTCATGAAACTGGAGCCACCGCACCTTACATTCCAGGCTAATCTGAGTTTGTTTTCGGTACGAACAAATTTAGTACCTATGGCTGTAAATGGACATGTATCCGCAACATCGTTTTCAACACTATTGAGCAGCGTCATCTCGACACTTGTACCTTT